AATCTTTGTAATTAATATATTTAGAAAAAACTTTTCCCATAACTGAAAATTACAGTTGAAAATGTCAAATGAGTCAATCCTTACAGCAAAATATGATCCAAATCCAAATCCAAACCCAAACTTGGAATTGTAATTTCTAAATATAAATTTCAGTCAGTAATTTTTAAACGGTGAGAAGGACATTTACGTTTTGGTTAACGAAAACAAAGTTGCCTCCCATGGCAGCTTAAGAGACTTTCCGTCTCTCTTAAACGGAAAACACTTAACGGCGTCATTGTCATCCATTCAAAACATACGCTGCACCCGTCAAAGCCGTTGGGTCAAACCTTTATATAAACCCAACGGCTACATTTCCGTTTTCCTCTCCTCCGAAATCTTTTTCTCTCTCCTCTCTCCTTCGGCGAAAACTTTTTTTATTTCATCAGAGAAATCGACGAGAAGCCCGCTCCATTTTCTTTGAATCAAAAACGTACTCACCAAGTAATATTCATCTGGGAAGATGGCCTGCGCTCAATTAGTCGCCATGTAAATCGCCATCCACCGCTTCTCGTCGATTTTTCACTTCCCATTTTGCCGCCCATTTCCTTTTGATTCTTTCCTTTTGGTAACATTCGTTGTCTGCCTCTTAGAGATTTGGCCCCCAGCAAGAATTGCAAATTATTTTTCGCCATAGCCCCCACCTTCCCCTTAATCCGCGAAGTTTCAAATACCAAGCCCTGGAGCTTAAGATTCGATCTTTATCGAATTTTTGGCTTCTGGGTTTCACCGATATTAGATTCTTTTTTGTTATTTGTAATTTTGTGGGAAAAAGGGTGCTGGGTGTTTCAGTTTCTGCAGGGATTTTAGATTTTCTGTACAGATTTTTGAGTTTTGCTTTTATGGGCTGTGTATATATTTTGATCATTTGATCAAATTGATTGACGGGTATTTCCATTGACACCTATCGATCAGTTCTTACTTTAGGCGAATAAGAGGGACTTGGGTTTGTATTTTGGGTTTGTAATAATTTTAAAGAATGTCTGCTGCCGATGTTGCTTTGAGCCCGATTTGCAAAGAATCGGTTAAATCTCGTGGTTACTTCGATAGCCAGCCAGGACTTCGCTCAAGCGAGTCGATCTTGATATATCTTAGTGTTTCTGGTTCTGTGATTCCAATGCGGGTGTTGGAGTCTGATTCAATAGCCTCAGTGAAACTAAGGATTCAGACATGCAAAGGGTTTGTAGTAAAGAAGCAGAAGCTCGTTTTTGGAGGCCGAGAATTGGCACGCAATGATTGTCTGGTCAAGGATTATGGTGTCACTGGTGGTAACGTCTTGCATTTGGTTCTGAAGCTCTCTGACCTCCTGCTCACCACTGTTAGGGCCACTTGTGGGAAGGAATTCGAGTTTCATGTTGATCGTCATCAAAACGTTGGCTATCTCAAGCAAAAGATAGCAAAGAAGGGGAAAGGTTTTATTGAGGTTGATGATCAAGAAATCTTTTTTAATGGAGAGAGGCTTGATAATCAAAGGCTCATTGACGATATATGCAAGGACAGTGATGCCGTGCTCCATTTGCTGGTCAAAAAATCAGCAAAAGTGAGGGCTAAGCCTGTTGAGAAAGATTTGGAGCTCTCAGTTGTTGCAGCTGACCTGAATGAGAGAAGAGATAGTGTAGTAGACAGAGGAGAGAGCCAATCTGAGAAGCTTCAGATTGTAAATAAGGAGCCATTAGATAGAGGTTTATTATTGGAACCGGTTATTGTTAACCCCAAGATTACATTTCCTCCCATTATATGGGATATGATTAAGGCTACTTATGATGGTTTGCGGAGAGGTAATCAACCCATCAAGTCATCCGAGGGAACAGGAGGAACTTATTTCATGCCGGATTCAGCGGGTCTCAACTATGTTTCTGTGTTCAAGCCTATGGATGAAGAACCCATGGCTATGAATAACCCCAATGGCTTACCCTTGTCAACAGAGGGTGAAGGACTGAAAAGGGGAACAAGGGTAGGAGAAGGAGCATTGAGGGAAGTTGCAGCATATATATTGGACCACCCACGTACTGGCCTTCACTCATGCTCCAATGAGGTCATGGGCTTTGCTGGTGTACCCCCTACAGTTATGGTTCAATGCTTGCACAAAGGGTTTAACCATCCAGAAGGGTACCAACATGCACCCAAGAATGTTAAAGTTGGGTCATTGCAAATGTTCATGAAGAATTATGGGTGTTGTGAGGACATCGGTCCAGGAGCTTTCCCTGTAGAGGAGGTGCATAAGATCAGTGTTTTTGATATAAGGATGGCAAATGCAGACAGGCATGGGGGGAACCTATTGATTGGGAAAGGGGATGAGGGACAGACCGTGCTAATCCCAATTGATCATGGCTACTGCTTGCCTGAGAATGTGAGTGTTTTCTATTATTCATTTTATGACAAGTCTGTTTTCTTAATGTTTGTATCCTTTGCGTCATTGTTTTTATAATCAACTGGTAAGACAAGCATTTTTCAATCTAAGATCATAGTTTGTGGCCATTTGAAATTAAGGTATAGTGGAGTTGTTGTCTGAGCAATTGCCTTAATCCAGACAAGATACATAGACACACACAAGGGGGGGCTCAAATTGGGTTCAAATTCTGGTTTTAAGATTTGACAAGGAAAAATGCTCAAGTTCAGTGTCAAGACCAGGCAAAGCAGTATTTTTGCCTGAACTTTTGTATTGAAGGTGGGAGTGGATCAGCAAGATGGGCTAAAGAGAAATGCAAACATGAATAAACAGTTAAAATTGGACTTTCACATAGACTTCTATTTGGAATGTTGGATCTGTTTTGTCTTGGAATTTGCATATTTTTAGGCAAAGTTTTCAGTTTAGAGAAAAGATCGAAGTTTGAATGTCTGTTTGGTGATTGTTATTTTATGCTTGATCACAATTGATATGCAGTCAGTAGAGCTTGTGTGGAAGACCTGACATGATTTGCCATATTCTGTTATTATTTTTTTATCTGGACATCTTCTGGATGATCGATAGTTTCAGTGGTGTTAGTAATCTAATGAATAGTTGCTTGTGCATTGTTGAAATCTAATCCCCCGAGAACTGAGAAAAAGATTATTGTTTTAGCTCTTCATAAATCTTTTTGTCCTATTTTGCAGTTTGAAGATTGCACATTTGATTGGCTCTACTGGCCCCAAGCACGAAAGCCTTTCTCTCCTGACACCATAGACTATATAAAGTCCCTGGACTCTGAACGTGATGTTGCACTGCTTAAATTTTATGGGTGGGACATTCCAGTTGAATGTGCTCGTATACTTCATATATCTACCATGCTTCTGAAGAAGGGAGCAGAGCGAGGTCTTACTCCCTTTGCCATTGGAAGCATCATGTGTAGAGAAACAGTGAATAAGGAGTCCTTGATTGAGAAGATAGTCCATGAAGCTCAGGATTCCCTGCTTCCCGACATGAGTGAAGCTTCATTTCTTGAAACCGTTTCCAAGATAATGGATTTTTGGCTGGACAAGCTAACAAAATAAAGTGATCTGGTTCCTAGGTACAAATGTTTTGTATGTATTAATTGGATGGCTGGTCCATTTTGGATGGACTGCAGGTTTTAAGGACTGTGGATGGCCTATATTGTTGATGTAGGCCAGAAGCTTTCATTTTCCTTCTCACTTGTGTCAAAATTACTACTATATTTGGATGCTTAGCAGAAATATAAGATAATATTGAATAATTCGAGTGCGGAATTTTGCTAAAGGTTTTGTAGGTCGAATTCAACTCGAGTGGGAGCTTCAAAAACTTGTGTGAAAGAGTCAGTCCCATATTTATATATGTTCACAAGTGAGTTGAAGTCCAGTAAATACCATATATATGTAAGGAGTTATAGCCAGCAAGAATGGAAGGATATAATTAAAGAAGAAAAAAAGATTATTTTTCATATGGTGTTGGTATTTGTTACTTGAGTTGTTTTTTCCCAGAATTTGTGTGTGGATCAGATGTTTGAAGCTGTTCCATTTACTTTATGCAAAAAATAGATCCTTCACTCTGTCTCTTCCAGATCCTCATATGATTGTGTTTTACTCAAAATTAACATTTTAATTGAATCATCTTACTTTTTACTTCTAAATGCATTAGACATGCATAGATAAATTGCAGTGGATCAATTCCCAATTCAGTCTAGGAGATTAGGAATTAATTGTTTAATTCGATCTCCTTTCAACTCTACTTAGAAATAGTTTTATTTACAATCTTTAGCCATTCTTTGGTTAAAAATAAAAGAAAAAATCTCCATCATCTTCTAAATATATATACATATATATCCATTATCAAGGCAAAAAAAAAGAAATCCTTTGACCATTTTACCTCAGATTCTAAAACTATCCCTAATTATTTTCCTATCATCTCATTACTAATAATAAGTCATAAGTCACAGATTTTCTTCCCATTTTTCAAAAAAAATAACAATAACTTCTTTAGTTTTAAAAATCAAATTTCAATTCAATAGGAAAATTCTTGATAAGATGAATAAATCAGATCACATATAAAAATATTAAATATGAAAACCAGCTTTGTTTTTAAGATGCATTGTGTAAATTTATTTTTAGATTTTCAAATAATTAAATTTTAAAAAAATTTTGGCTATAAATTAGCTGTTGGGTATTGAAAAAGAAAAAAAAAAAAACAAGCAATCAATAATAACATCCATGTGATGATCTTACCAGAGAAAATTAGATATAAATAATAAAAGATATACAACTTTCTCTAAAATAAATTAATCAAACTTGCAAAATCTAAAATTTTCAATAAATATGTAACGGCCCCGAAAATTAAAAGGAAATGTATAAATTTATTCTAAGTGCAGAAGCGAAATAAAATAGATTATGATTAACATCATTTACACAATAACCAAAACGAATTAAGCGTATAAAAGAATAAACTAACTAAAGGAAATATTATGAATGAATACTATAAGAAAAATTAATAAATTCTTAAGCTTCTACTTGCCGTCTTCCTGTAGAACGGGCTCGGGAACCAAGACCTCCTAATCTGAAATGGTTAAGTAAGGAATGAGGTACACTAACCCAGTAAAGACATCACACTATCTCACTGTCACAGAAGTAAAGGTTAGTAGAAAACAAAAACGACCAATAGAACATAATTTATAACAAACTCATTTATCAATAATAAAAACATTTACTATCGACTTATCTCGGTGAGATTTATGAAAACAACTTATAAGAAACCATAACATCATAAACATCATAAGATCATGCACACTCTGTAACATAACACATATCATACTTTTGTATTTCAATCATCAGGCAACAAATTTCCTCTTTTACCAGGCTACTAGTATCCATGGGGATCCATAGGGGGTCCCTGCTACACGTGAACCATTCAGATTAATAACTTAATTCCAGGGCCGTCTCATACCCCGTCCAGTATGGGCGCCAAAACTATAAACCTCAATACCCCGTCCAGTATGAGGGTGAAACGAGCCGTCTCCATACCCCGTCCGGTATGGGCGCCAAAACACATAAAGTCTCCATACTCCGTCCGATATGAGAGACCACGTTCCCGGTAGGGTTTCCTATAGACCCGGTCTGTCCACCATCTCCCAAGATATCTAGTCAGGCTGTCGACATTATCTATTTATTAATTCACATACCTTTTTTTATTTTTTTCTTAATCTCAATTATTCAATCAAACATAAATACGTAAACCAGTAATGGACACCAAACAAGGCAACACAACATCGGGTTCACAATAATTCAAAACATAATAAATGAAACCGGGATTCATGCATACAAAATCATATAATAAAGACATCAGGCACCATACTGTATTTAAAACTGTAAAATAAATCAAACAACAACTGACCGAAAAATACATCATATTCGGGCTCCATTAGCAACCTTAATTAATTATACATATCTATTAATTCACAACATACCATTTTATCATTTATTAAGCTTTGATGTCGTAATAGAAAATAGGGTGAGAGATCCTTACTTGTTTCGGAGTCTGAAATCGGGTTCTCACTACACCTACGGGCAGTCCGTATATTCCCTGAATTTTTCTCCGGAAACTGAAACACACTTCTGGTACCTGTACATGTCCCCAAAAAATTCTAAATCAGACCCAGGGCCTTTTCGGCCAATTTCGGAATTCCGGCACGGTGGCTCCGCCATGCTCCGGTGACGGCGCCGTTGCCCACAGCAGCGATCAGCCTCGGGTTGGCCGTTTCTGACCGTTTTCAGCCGAATTCGGTTCCTGTGATAATACACTTCTAGGGCCCTCGGTGGGCCAAAAAATTTCAGAAAACCGAGACTTACCGGCAACGAAACTCTCGGGTACGGCGGCTCCTCCGGCGCGAGTTGTGATTTGGTGTTTTGCTCCGGTCAACCTGTAGAGAAAAGGACGGTGGTCACAGTGGTATAAAAATTACATCAAACGGGAACCGAAAAAGGCCTCATCGGAGGCAAAAACTGAGAAAATCCGCAGCGGCGCTGCTGGACTTCGACAGTATTTTTCAGCCAATCGGCTAGTGGTTTGGCTCCGATTTGGCCACAAGGAGGTTCAACATCGAAAAATGAGCCAATGGGAGAAATTTTACTTCGTTTGGCGGCCGAAAAATCCTCCGTTGCGGCGGCGGGTGGCGGCAGCCGATTCCTCCGGTGGCTGGGTCGTCTTCTCCGGCGAGGGTTCTGGCGACTAGGGTTTGGGGTTGGGTGTGGATGCGATTATTTATAATCTTCCCCTTTTAATCTGAGCCGTCCATCATGATTTAATCTGAACCGTCCGATTGCGATTAAATTAGAAATAAATATGGGTCGTCGATCGCGATGTGATCTGGGCCGTCCTGCGCGCTTTTGATCTGGGCCGTTCGTGCGTGCGGGAATGGATCTGGGCCGTCTGATCGCGCGCACGCGGATCGCCCACGTGTCTCCGTCCCGCGTGGCTTCCCGCATCAGCATCCCTGCCACGCGGCGTGTCCTGGTTGGCCGGGGTTGCTGAAGGGGCTGCTGACGGGGCATTATTTTTTTAAATTACGTTTTGACCCCCTGATTTTCGATTTTCTTTTCAAAAACACTCCCATAATCCAAATTTTCACTCTTTTTTCCCCAAAATCAATTTCAATTAAATTCTAAAAATAATTTTACCCTATATTATTATTATTATTATTATTATTTCTATTAAATTAAATTAAAACCTTATAAATTAAATATTAAAATAGAATAAAATTAAAAAAAATTCCAATAAAAATTAAAATAAAAATAAAATAAAATAAAATAAAAATTTTGGGTGTTACAAAATAAGTAGTATAATTTTAATCAGTTGTAGTTGTCAAACTTCTCCTAAAATGAGAGTGTTTATTCCAATTTATTTTAGAGAAAGGTTTGATTTTTATAATTATTTCATTTTTTGTAACATCTTATTATATCTTAAAGGTTAAAACAAAATTTTATACGATTTAAAATAAATTAATTAAATTCAAATATGTAAATGAACAAAAGTTTATATATTTTTTAAAATTACAAAATGTATCTAAAATATAAAATTTATGGACATGAATTTATCTGAACATTCGATTAAAATGTCCCACTCATAAAATTTAAGCAGTGTAACATCTCGTTCCGAATCTGAATTTTTTTTCTGTTTCTCTAACTATCTCATCAATCAAGGACTCCTTATTCATTGTTTCTCTACACATGATGCTTCTAGTGGCAAAAGGAGTAAGATCTTGCTCTGCTCCCTTCTTCAGAAGCATAGTAGATATATGAAGTGTACAAGTACATTCGACCGGAATGTCCCACCCATAAAATTTAAGCAATGCAACATCTCGTTCAAAATTCAGAAACTTTATATAGTTTATAGTGTAAGAAGAGAAAGGTTTTTGTACTTGAGGCCAATATAGCCAATCAAATGTGCAATCCTCAAACTGTAAAATAGGACAAAAAGATTTATAAAAGTTACAAGAAGCTAGCATAGGTAATAAAATTTATTTATTGACTCAAAATTTTGTAACATTGGTCCATTTTTTGTAATTGAATAACGAAATCTATGATAGAGTAAGCATGAGAATCAAGTCCTTTAAATAGTTTGAGAATTTTTTAGATTGTTCACTCTTAAAGAAAAAATAAACATTCAAATTATTGTAGAAAATAAATCAAGATTATAAAAAATAGGAGCCTCCATTTCAGACAAATTGTATGAATAAAGCCATATTTTAGGTGAATAATATAGATTGTTCATAACCTAACATAGGTATTGTAATTTATTTTCTTAGAGCTCTAGGTTTCACAATTTTGGCCCACTTTTCGTAATTATACAATGACATGTATTTATGAGCAAATGTGTGATAAATGAGTTTTTTTAATAAATTTGAAACTTTTTAGATTTATTTATCTAAAAGCAATAAAATATTGAATATCACAGAAAATTTTGAAGGTCACGGCCATGATACCATAGTAAACCCTAGCTAATGATGACTAGTATTAATTGATATATAATAAGTCGCTTGGCTTAACATAATAAATGTACATAAAAATTATAATAGAGTAATTTATTACAGAGAACTCTAACCAAAAATACCTTGCAGAATATTATAGAATTAATCTTTTTGAAAAAATATTTTGCAGAGTTTGAAAACATAGAGTATATTGAAAAAGAATCCTCAATGCCTTAGCCATGAGACTAATCATGTAAGTAATTACATACCAAACCTATACTCTAAGTATCACAAGCAGGTTTTAAGTTAATCTATGTAAGAAATATTGTAGTATAGTGAAAAATATCTTTATATAGTTATATAGGATTAAGGATCTTTTTTTCTTATTTACATAATAACAATAAACTCAAAAGTTTAATGATTGAATATATTCTTTAATCATTCATAAATTTGATCAAATATTTGATCCTATTTTATATTGTTTGTGGTTAACATTCACTAAATCTAGCATTGCCAAGTCTGTCTCTCGATCAAGATAGGTGTTTGTTGTAACGGCCCCGGAAATTTAAAATGAAATGTATATTAAAAATGTCAAATGCGGAAGCGAAGTCAAAAATTCGATTAACATCCCTTACACTAAAACTAAAAACGTGCTCACAATATAAAAGATTAAACTACCTAAAGGAGAAACTTGAAAGTAAAAGCTACGAATATGACTATGGAGTCTTTAGGCGTCCCCTTCGTCGTCCTCCTGCGGAACCGGCTCGGGAACAATGTCTTCCTGATCTGAAATGATTAAATAAGGAATGAGCTACACCAGCCCAGTAAAGACATCACGATATCTCACCGTCACGGAGGTAAAAGTGGGTAGAAAACACAAAAAGACCAATGGAGCATAATTTACAACAAATCCTTTTATCAATAATAAAACCTTTACCATTCACTTACCTCGGTGAAATTCATAAAAACAATATACGAAAGCAATAACACCATCATCATCATGAAATCATATATAAACTGTATAACATAATACTTATCAAGCCTCTCGTAATTCAATCATTACACAATATATTTTTCTTCGTTTACCAGCCCACTAGTATCCATAGGGATCCATAGGGGTCCCGCTACCCGTTAACCCTTAACACTTGAAATCATATTCCAGAGTCGTCCCTATACCCCGTCCGGTATGGGCGCCAAACTATAAACCTCATTACCCCGTCCGGTATGAGGGTGAAACGGGTCGTCCCCATACCCCGTCCGGTATGTGCGCCAAAACACATAAGATCTCCATACCCCGTCCGGTATGGGAGACCACAATCCCGGTAGGGTTCCCTACGGACCCGATCCGTCCACCATCTCCCAGGATATCTAATCAGGCTGACCACATTATACAATTTTTCATTTACATAATCTTTCATTCTCCTTTTTCCTCAGTCAGCATTATCAATCACATACAAACAAGCAAAACGATAATTTATGCCAAACAGACAACATACAGCATCAATATCCTAGTCATTCAATCCATAATCAATAAAACAGTAAAATATGCACACGAAACTATAAAATGAAAACATCGAATCTCATGCTGCATTTAAAACTGTAAAACAGGCCAAATAATAGTTAACCGACAAACACACTAGACTCGGGTTCTATTAGCGACCTTAAGCAATTTCACACATTCGTTGATTCAAGAAATACCGTTTTATCATTATTGAACTTTAATACCGTGATAGAAAATAGGGTGAGGGGTCCTTACTCGTTTCGGGGTCCGAACACGGCTTCACAGTGCGCCTGTAGGCTGTCCCTAATTTTCCCTGAATTTTTCCCGGGGAACTGAAACGCACTACTGGTACCTGCACGTGTTCCCAAAAATCCCAAATTAGGCCCAGGGCCCCTTTCGGCCAATATCGCAACTCCGGCACGGCGGCTCCGCCGTGCTCCGGCGACGGCGCCGCCGCAAGCGGCGGTGGTTCGCCTCGGGTTGGCCGTTTTCGGTAGAATTCGGCCACACTCGCATTGGTTCCTGCGATAAAACAACCCTACGGCCCTCGGGGGGCCGAAAATTTACGGAAAACCGAAGCTTACCGGCGGCGGTGCTCTCGGGTGCGGCGGCTCTCCGGTGAAGTTCGTGTTTTAGTGATTCGGCTCCGATCAACCTGTAGAGAAAAGAATGGTGATCACGGTGATATAAAAATTGCATTAAACGGAGGCCGGGAAGGGCCTCATCGGAGGCAAAAACTGAGGAGGGGCGTGGCGGCGCCGCTGGCTTTCGGCCGTGTTTTCCGACCGTTTGGCCGGGATTTTGGCTCCGATTTGGCCACTGGGGAAATTAACGTGGAAAAACGAGTCGGGGGTATGAAATTTACCTCGATCGACGGTCGAAAATCTCCCCGGTGCGGCGGCGGGTGGCGGCGGCCGGCTCTGGTTCGTCTTCTCCGGCGAGGGCAGGCGGCTAGGGTTTTGTGGTCTGGTGTGGGGGTTCTATTTATACCCTTTTGCCTTTTGATCTTAGCCGTCCATTTTGATTTAATCTGGGCCGTCCGTTTTTTATTAAATCTGGGACG